AAAATTTAAAAATAAAAAAAAAGAAAAGAAAAAAGAAGGAAGGGAAAAATTATATACACACACACACACACACACACACACACACACACACAAGATAGCTAAGATAATTATACTACTAATTGCTATTAGTTCATTGAAAAGAATGGTTTGATCAATTTTGTTTGATCAATTTTGCGTACCTATATCTTGTAATCTGAACAACTACTTTGAACCTAATACTATGTAATATATTAACCATTGTTAATTTTCTACTATATTGTTTTTCTGTATCAGTTTTTATTGTTTTTTCCCTTTAAAATAAAAAAAATGTTAAAAAGATCAATATCCAATCTATGTCTGTTAAGAACAGGAAAGGCTTCCCAGAGGATAAAGCATAATTCAGTGGAAAAATTTTCAAGTTAAATAGACCTTGTTTCAAATGCTGGCTCTGCCACTTACTAGCTGAGTTATCTTAGACAAATTACTTGTTATTATTTTTTTTTACTACTTTTACCAGGCAATAATATGCCAATATATTATTTTACTATTTGCCAGGCACTATTCTAAACATTTATGTTAATAACTCATTAAATTATAATAGTCCCATAAAATATGCAGTATTATTATCCCTTGTTATAAAGAAACTGAGGCAAAAGTTAAGCAACCTGTTCAAGGAAGGTCACACACCTAACAGTACGCTGAGCTGAGATCCAAACCCAGGCAATCCAACTCCAGAGTCTAGGCATTTAAGCTCTCTACTGCAATGTCAGCTTCTTCTAGTCTCAGTTATATCATCACTAAAACAAGACTTACTTTAAAAACTAAACAGAACACTGCATAAAGCACTTGGAAAACAAAAATAAATTGCATCTATTGTTACATACGTACAATCATTTATTCTATTTTAACCTCAGAAGAACATTACGGTGAAGGTATAATTATTCTATTCTATAGGCAGAGACAGACTCTGAGGTTAAGCAATCAAGCTACAGTCATCCAGTAGTAGGTGGTAGAACAACTATTCAAACCCAGTGCTGCCTTACTCCAAAGCCCGTGCTTTTCCACTCCATCATTTTAAGGCCTGTGCCTAAGGCCCAACATAGATGGCTGTAGGCCACCTACAGGGAAGTCTGGGGTTTAGAAGTTTCCACAAAATCTGCAAGCACTCAAGTATCACCTGGAGGTGCTTCATCAGTGTTTAACACCCACCAGGCCAACCACTGGCCCCAAAGCAAAGCTCAGAACTTGCACGCAAACACACCAGGAACACCAGCATCCTTGAAGGATTCCAAACTCACCCATAACTATTTGAAACCCAAAACTACTCTCAAAGGCTCCCTGCTGGATCCCTCAAAATAGCACAGTTCATCAAGGGCTATTTGCACACAGGGCCACAATGGACAGACACTAGACGAGGATCAGACACCTGACTTCTATCCCAGGAGTCTCACCAAGACCTGGTGAGACCTCTGGTGAATCATTTTCTCTCTTGGTACCTCACTTTTTTGATCTGTGAAATAGGGATCATAAATGCATCACCTCTCTTCCGAGGGGTTTTGAGAGGACCAAGGGTAAGATAATTGCTGTGGTGGCACTCTGGCAGCAGTACAAAATGCTGTAGATAGAAAGTGTTATCAAAATGACCTATTCCCAGTAGGGGACATGGTAACATTATCTTTAGTTTTATTTACTTTTATTTAAAACCATTTTTGCTGCAAAAGAAAGTAGGTTAGATTAATTTAGTATCTCAATTGAAGCAAATTTTTTCTATTTAACCTTTCAGAAGTATCTGAAGCAAATGATACCATTTTATCTTTCTAGAAATGTTAGAATCACTGGCTCTAAACACTGAAGCCAGTTATGCTCTCTCCCCCAAAAGAAGCTCAAAGCTCTTCCTCTTAACATGAAATGTGTTGGTATTCCATGAGGAGTTCCCTGGTATCTATGATTGCTCTTAGAATTTTCATGTCCTTCCCAAAGGGAGCCTAATGTGGGAAAGGAGAGAAATTACCTAAGCAAATTCCAGTCCAACCCAGCTATCTCTGAACCCACCTATCCAGGTACCATCTCAATATCCCAATCATATGCTCCATGGGAACCTCATATTCAATGTGTCCAAAACTGAACTCGCCATTCCCTCCTGTGTTCTTAGTCTCAATAAATGGCAATTCCACAAGTTAACCTAGCTTGCTTCTTCCCACTCAATGTCTAATAATAACAAGATTGATTTTTAAGAGATTCTTATGATATGCTGCATCCTCTAACACACACATTACATGTGTGATTTCAATATTCCCACAACTCCGTGAAGGAATCATTATTTTACAAATGAGGAAATTGATGCTATTAAATTGGAGACAGAGGCGGTATATGAACCAATATCAGGCTAGCTTTAAAGTCTTGTTCCTTTGAGTAGCAGGATGCTCTCCATCACCAAATTCTCTATTTTTCTATCTCAGAATCTCTCTGTGCTTGAACCCCAATGGCTTCATTTGGGTATCATAACGTCTGACTATCGCAAGAGCCTGTCCTACTCCCTCTATTACTTCTGACCCTGTCCCAAATCTCCACAGCCAGCAGAGTGAACTTTTCAAAATGCAAAGGTGATTCTGTTACCTCCCTACTTACATTTTTCAATAGCCTCCAATATAAATGTTCAAATTTTTCAGCTCCACACAAGTCCCCTTGTCATCTTATCTCTGCTCACCTCTCTAGGGTCACCCTCCACCATTCTCTCCTCAAGTCTTTCATGCCAGAGATGCTACTGCTACTTGCATCTCCTGAATCCACAGTGCCAGGTCCTATTTCTTGGTCATCTAACATGCCCTTCCACCCGAAATGGTCTTTATCTCCCTTTTTCCTCTATTTAATTGCTACCAGTCCTTCAGAAGTCATCTGATATGTCTCTCTTCTCCAAGAAGTCCTCTTTCTCTCACACCAACAGCCTCAGAAAATGTCCTTATAGAGACTTAATTCATTCTTCCATTTCTTGATTCATTAGTTCACACGCCCACAATGTTCTAGGCACTGGGAATACAGTGATGAGCTACACAGACATTTCCCCTACATTCATGGGGTCACAATCCCACAGCAGAGAGAAATCAATCTAATAATGACAAAAGTAAGAGAGCAACCATACGGTGAGGTGTGTACAAAGGGAAAGAGAAGCACAGAGCGTTACAAGATCCTATATAAATAGTGGGGAGAGGAGACTGACCTAGCCTAAGGACAGAAAAATACCATACGAGTTTAAATCTGAATCACAGGGGGAGACAGTTCACAGCGTTACACGTAGAGAAAACAGCATCTGCTGCAGCCATGGAGTAAGGCGGCCCTTGCCAGTTTCTAGCAACTGAAAGGACAAGTGATGTACTGCTAGGTCTCTCACTTGTCTAGAAGCAGACAGATGGCAAGACCTTGCTTGAGCTTATTTTATGTCCCCAGCGTCCCGCACATGACTTTTAATAAACTATCTCTGAAAATGGAGGTATTTTTAATAAAGACTCTAGCATGCAAATACCTTGGCCTGAAGAACGTTTGTCGCCACATCTATCACTGCAAGGCCTGTGGCTCCAGCTGCTGCCGTCACTAAGACAGTTTCTCTGTGCCAGAGAAAGATGAATGTTACTACAGAATCCTTCAAAACTTACCCTATCACACGATTTCAGGAACTCTGTAGAACTAGAACATTTTAAAACAACAATGTTAGAGATCTTTGCATTCAAACCTTCACGTGCATCTGTGTTCTACCCTGGGGGGTGGGTTTACAGATATGACTTGTACATTGGTGCTAATTTGGTCCAGTTTTGAAGACTTCCAAAGAAAAAGATTCCTTTATTTCTCTAGGTAGACCCTAACTTCCCACAGTGGCAACCTCTCCTTTGAGCAACCACTCCAATTTATGCTTCAGGAACTATCCAAAGTCATTCTCACAATAAATACTGCCCAACTTTAGAAGGTGATGGTCTGTAATGGCCACAGTTGAACTGAACTCACCAGCGGGGAGCAACTCTGAGGGTTGGCTCTCTGAAATGATCAAGAGGTAGTTCCCCAGGTAAAGTGGGAAACCTCAGCCCCTTTGAGTTAGAAACACCCTACTTGGAACACAGTCCAAGCCCCACAGAGACAAACACCACAGGCCTCCATTAAATTAACATCTAAACCAATTCAGTACATTTAAGGTTTTCCCAGAAGTGATCTTCAGGGTAGCCAGGTTTGAGAGAGCTATTTTTCCAAATTTATATTGGCCCAGTTCACAGTCTACCATTCCACTTCAGACGAGAGGGGAGCCCCACAGTCACGAGATCTCAGTCCCCAGTGGTTCCCTCTCTTTGTCCTTTCCTCAAGCAAAATAAAGAAGAAATTCTAAAGGGAATGAAAAGGAAGGGAATAGGAAGGTATAGGGAAACTTGAGCACCTTCATATCAGGAAAGGCATCCCCCAGCGCTCTGTTGTCTGCATCCTTACCCAGGCTGGGTACATGCCCGATGCTGCAGAGCCAAAATAGCAGTTCCGTAAGTTACAGGTAAGGTAGCAGCTTCTCGCAGGGAGAGATTCTCTGGAATCTTCCACAGGGCCTATAGGAAGACGTAACAGTAGCTGAGGGATTAAACATATGCACCTATTTGCAAAGGCTAGTCAGTGAATATGATCTGATAGAGTGACTAATCTGAAATAAGAAACACATGCCTGCAATCAAGCCCAGTGAAAGTCAAGACCAAGCAAGCCTTGGGAGAATTTAAGACTTGGGTGCATCAGACTTCAAAACTCTAAGGCTGGCATCTGGCCCAAAAAGGAGCCAATTTATGGAGAACAGCCACAGACCACTGTAACAAGGGAATTATATGGTATATAAATTCTACCTCAGTAAAGCAGGGGCGGGTCTGTGTACCGTCCACCACTAGGGGGAACCATTCACATCTTGCTCAATACAAAGCCACCCCAGCTGGCTCCATTCCCAGGGCTATCTCTTTCATAAGCTTTGTGTGGGAGACAAGGCCTTTACATCCAGCTCAATACCCCAAACCAATTTTTCTACCAAAACTACCTAACTATGGCCCAACTGGACAGCCAGCCAATTGCTTGGGCACTCCAAAAACAAAATTCCCTCCTTCATTAAAGCACTCGACACAAACAAAGCTCTGTGCAAGGACTGTCGCACCAAAGAGAAGGAAAGGTTTAGGATATTTTGAAAAGATGTGTTTGGCTGAGAAACAAGATATGACCAAACAAGTGCAAAGAAAGGGAGGAGAGGGGAGAATAAGAAATGAAGGAAAAGTAGAAATTAAAGAAAACAAAAGAGAAAAACCATCTCCAAGCATTGATATTGAGGGCTGGGGGTACCTTCTGGTCAGTGATGCATTCTTCGGCCATAGCATTAAAGTGACTCACACCAATAACTCTATCTCCCTAAAGGAAAAAGCAGCATTGCAGATATGTTCAAATGCATGGCCTTGCATTTACCTCTTCCTGAGTTAACCAAAGAATGAAAGAAAATACACATCTCTGATCCCCCAAGACACTGGTTAGCTTTAATACCTAGAGTTAACGTTTAGTAAATAAAACAGCAATTCTCTCAGTACTGCCACCAGATTGCCAAGCCCATCTGAGCAGGTTTTAGACAGCATGGAGTTGAATAAGGAAAAGGTTGGTATGAATTAGAATTAACTTCTTTCACATGAGACTCCATCTCTCAGTCACCCACGAGTGAGATCTGCCCTTTAATTATAAAGAGTTTAATGAACCCAGAAACCTCCACCAACATTCCCCTCCCTGAATTTAGAATTAGTTTCTTTCGCTTCCATCTCAGTTTCCCTTCAGAGTCTTCTGCCAAAGGACAGGAAAAGCAAGACCTTTGGGGTACAAATGAAGTGAGCACATTTCTCATAGCTATGCACATGTTTTTTCCCTAGATTTCAATTAATTTACCTCTTTCACTGTGCAGACATCTGTGCCTGTCTCCAGGATGGTCCCAGAAAACTCTATTCCTAAAACATTTTTCAAAGATTAGGTTATCTGTGAAGCCCAGAACTATGGAGAGAAAGTCTTAATCAACAGGCCAATCCTATCAGCTTTTTAAGAGTAAGATTTAAGTACCATCTTCTTCACCTTAGCAGAGGAGGAGAGCACTGTACCCAAAGCACACGAAAGTGAGCATAAGATTTCATGATCACAATCTGAAAAGCTATGGCAGTCCCATTCTTAACCTTGACACAGTAAGCAACTTGAGGATGTGCAAAAGCAGAGAGAATGGCTGGTGCACTGGAACTTCTGACCCTAATCACTGGGACGTTGGGCTTTTGCAGCACCCCAACCATGAGGTCTATTATATAGTATTTATGGGTTTCTGCGTACCTTCTGCTAGACCATAAGGTCTTAAAGGACATGAATGGAGTTTGTTCAGACAGTGCTTGGCTCAACTGAATGAATTATTGCTGCTTCCCTCTCTTATTCCATGTCTGAAACTTCTGACTTTAATGATCATGCATTTCCTACTTGAGCTGCCCAGGGAATAACTCAATCATATATGACATCTTCCCCAGACCCAGCATTTTAGCAAATATAAGCAGAAGGAAATGGTTCCAACTGTTAAGATACAAACAAATACCCAAGACTAGAACATAGCAACTATTTTGCAATCACTGTATCCTTAATAATATATATCTGTATAAACCTGTAAACATGTTAAGCAATACTTGTATTGCTTTAAATAAATTTTAGCAATAAAAATCAGTCATTTACACACTATTTGTGATATGAAAATAATCAGACTGGGCATAACAAAAATCAGACATTGGATTACTAAGAAATTATAAACTCTTTTTCTTTGTTTTGATCCTTTGGCACTAGGTTTCTTTGAGCTTGTGCTCGAGAGACTAAGACATCTTAGCTGCAAACAGATGTCTGAGATCCTGCAATAAAAAATGAAGCCAGTTTCAGAAAAAGGGAATGACCAAGGTCAGTAATGACTCTGACGAACAGAATTCTGGTGAGCATGACGATGTGAATATTTATTTGGTCATTTATTCACTTTTAAAGTATTTATTGAACATCTACTATGAGCTAGATACAATGCTAAGCTGGGGGAGACAATGTTAAACAAGAGAGGCATAGAAACTACCCTCAAGGGGCTCACAAGTAATGATCTAATTAATGATGGAGCTGACATACCTAGCAAAAACCTCACTGATAGCGGACGAACACCACGGAGTTGCATCTGGGAGGAAGCACCTGGTTCTGACAAGTTTCAGAATCTTCCTTTCCTGAAGCATCCCTTAGTCCACCCATACTCACCAGGTATGAAGGGCAGGTGGGGCTTTTCCTGATACTGACCACGGCAGACCAATGTATCAGCGAAGTTAACTCCACAGAAATGGACATCAACTCTGACCTGCAAAGGAAACAGAGCAGCAAAACAGAGACGTACACATCCTGGAATCAAAGTTCATTATTCAGTTATTCGAAAATATTTCATGAATGAAGGACAACTATATGCCAGGTGCTGAACGAACAGCTGGAATGAATCATGAGGCGAAATGGACTGCTTCTGTCTTCACGGAGCTAAAAGTATAATAGAAACAACAGACACTAACCAAATAATAATGAACCCATTTGTATTAAATTACAACTCAATGCAAACTGTTAAAAATAAGAATTATGGTGCTGAGAAAGCATATAATGGGACGATTTGCCTTCTTGGGGAAGAAAAAGTAAGAAAGTAATACTAGAATTAATAACAGTTAAGAGTTAGCTATTCAAAATAGAAGGGAAGACTAGCTCAGCAGTAGAGCACTTGCCTAGTATGTGTTAGAACTTGGGTTTGATCCCCAGTACTAAGGAAAAAAAATGAGAAAAGCTCTACACAGACAAAAGCAATGCCATGTGCAAATGCCCTGTATCAGGGACAAAAGAAAAACCAGAAAGTTTAGAGGATAAAGAGGAGAGAGAAAAAGAGGAAAGAGAGAAGGGACCACACCACACCATGGTTTGTAGGCCTATACTGACTTTCAAGTTAGGACAACAGAAAAACCACTAAAGGGTTCTAAACAGAAAGGCAACATGATGAGCTGTTTTTGGAATCTGGAATTCTGCAATCCAGACTAGATCCCTAGCTTCTGTGTCCATGGCAATGCCACAACTGAAGTAGAACTATAAGGCATGGCCAGAAGTCTCTCTAGACACTGAGCCATCCTGCACCACGCTGCATCAGCTTCACCTGAGAATATATCAGAAATTCTAATTCCTTGGCCCTACCCCTGCTAAACTGAATCAGAAACTATGGGGACAAAGCCCACAAATCTGTTTAACAAGCCCAGGTGACTATGCTCCTTGCTAGAGAACTCCTGCGAAGAGAAAACATTCCAACGGGGGCTGCAGTCACAGGAGGAAGCGAAGGCTGAGACACCAAATCAATGATATTTGTTTCAATGTAGTACAGAAGTGGCCTTATTTGTAAGACATCTTTATCCAAGAAATCCATTCATTCAGTAGTTTTTTTTGAAGCACCTACCACATGCCAGGCACTATTCCAGACTACGAGGATTTAATGGTGAATAGAAACAACGTAATTGCAGCTCTCCTGAGCTAATTCCTTACAGCACAATGTCCGGACAAAGAACAAAAAAGCCCAGCCGTCAGCCTTTGAACACTGGCAGCATGACACATGAGCTACTGACAAACGCACGGCACACATGCGTCCTCAAGCCACTCCACCGTGATTCCAGGATGACCCAGGGATGGGCTCTCTCAGCGTGTGGACACCAGAAGCACAGACTGTCATCGCTGTTCCGTTCTGGCCACAGGCTCACCGTTAGCAACCTTAGGGCTGCCCCTCCATCAGCCCCTCTCACAAGTGGTCCTCAGCACTGCGGCTCTCTCACTGCCTGCTTCACCCCGAGGCAGGATCGCATTCTCCACCCCAGACGCCACTCATCACCAGGGTGGTCAACAGGCAAGGCCAGGTGACTTCCATGTCTCAGCAAAACCCCAAACTAACCCCATCCCAAATCCCTGCAGGACACAGGGAGAGCTTAAGACACACATTCACAAGGACAGAGACGAGGCGGGTGGGGAAGTTCGGGAAAGCGTGGGGGAGTCGTAAAGAAAGGCAGAAAACCTGACACTGAGGCCGAAGAGGAACGAAGCAAAGGACAGAGTCCGTTTATCTGTGTTAAATCAATAACTTGCTGGTGGTTATGCAAAGTCGCGTGCAAATCAGAATTCTGTTTCTAAGGCAACAGCCCTGGAGCCTTCAGAAAGAGGCCTACACGCCTGTTCGGAGGAGAGCTCCTCCCGGTGCGCCTCTGACCCTTTCGGAAGCCTTCAAGGGCTCTGAGCGTCTAGGCCCCAGACTTAGCTGCGCCCCGGTCTCCCGGCCGCCCCCTCGCTTGGGAACTGGGAACACGCAAGAAGCCTGCGGCCGGGGCGGGAGTCCGGGAGGGTGAGACGGGTTTCCAGGGGGCCGGGCCAGGCCAGCACCCTACCTCGTGAGGCAGGACAGGGCGGGGGGCCACCTCGCCGACGGCCAGGGGCTGCTTCAGCTCGGCGCAGAGCGCGGCGCGGTACGGCCGGCCCGGGCCCTGCCTGGCTCCCCTGGAAAAGGCAAGAAGGACGCTTTACCCGGGCCGGGCCTCCAGGGCACCGGGCCGCCTCGCGGGCTGGGGAAGGGCCGGGCCTGCACCTGCGGAGCCGAGGCCGAGGGAGGCGGCGCGCGCACAGCAGCGCAGCCATGGCCGCCGGGGCAGTCGCGAGAGGGCGCAGCCTGAGCGCGGCCGGAAGAGCCGGGCAGCGCCGGCCACGCCCCGGCCAGGGCAGAAGGGCTTGGGGACGCCCCTGGCCGAGCGCGGGCCCCCACCCCCGCCGGGCTCCTGCGCCCACGGGGCGCCCCGCCTCTAACAGGCCAGACCCGGGGGATCCGAGCCCGCTGTCCCCCACCCCAGGCACCTCTGGACCTGGAGCACCCTGGAAGAGAAAACCAAAAATCAAATGAAAGGGTTGGATTCACCTTCGTTGACATTTTTGTAGAAATTTGGAGAGACTTAAAATCACATCTGACAATACTTAAATAGCGGTTCTTGGGTCCTCTGGACAAAGGAAATCCTAAATGTACAGGTCAAGCTTTTGGTCTCTGGTAACACCGTGCCAGAGCTCAGTTCTTGTTACTGCTATTCATACACACACACACACACACACACACACACACACACACACAGGATCAGTTACAGTAAGATTAAATGCTTACTAATGATTCCAAAGCCAAAGAGCACCTCCAATTAGAGTCAGCCCAAAATGCAATGGTTTTCTAAAGGCCTATATTATGTCCAGCACTTAGTAAGTGTTCAATTAATGTCAATTCAAAGACCACATAGTAATTCCTAGCTAAAATAGGTACACGCTGGAAGAACTAAATATATAGCAGCATTATGTGTAAAATATTTTAAAAAATAAGTAGACCCTTGTTACAACCGTGACCAAATATTCATGTACTACCGATATATAAGGGGAACACATCATTCTGGGAGGAATGTCTCACTGGATAGGTAGCATTTAAAGAGAGCATAATGTTTTTAAAGACCTCTAATCCAAGAGTACAGATCTCCTCTTCAAGCCTGCTCTACCAGTTATTTGTGTGGCCTTGACTTTGATATTTGATGGCTCTTGGCCACGGTCGACTTTTCCATAAAAAGAAGCCATTGGGCAGCATGATTGGAAATGAAATAAAGGAAACATCGTGAGTAAAGATGAAGGGATGAACTTCTGAGATTACAGCCTAAAGGCTGTGGTAGGCGCGAACAAGTACCCACCTTGGATTACACAGTACAGGTCATTGTTATTTTAATAGGGAGTTTGAAAAGACTAGAAAATGAAGGTTTTGTTAAAAGCAAAAAGACAGGGCTAGGGATTTAGCTCAGCGGCAAAGCGCCTGCCTGGCAAGCGCAAGGTCGTGAGTTCGGTTCCTGGTACCGGAGAAAAACCAAAAAAAAAAAAAAAAAAAAATAGCAAAAAGACAAAATCCATGTTTCCAGAGAGACATGAAAGTACTATTAATCATTAAGCACATAAATGAGATCAGGAGGCTGAAGGTGCAGAAACCAGTGCTAGAGAGCCTGTGGAGCATGCATAGGGTCCTCGGTTCAACCCCAGAAAGGCGGAGAAATCTCAATTTAAGGAAGTATGAAAGCAGGATTGACTGTTCCAAGTTGTTATACATGGAAAGTGTTTTGTAAAATGTTTGGATATATTACTATCTTAATACTAACACAAGCAAGAGATAAAGCAAGCTTTTTTTTTTCTTTTTCCTTTTTTTACTGGGATCGAACTCAGAGCCTTTGCACTGAGGTACATCCTTGCCCTTTCTTTTTTGCTTTGTTTGTTCGTTTGTTTTTCTTTTTTGTTTTTTATTTCTTTTGAGACAGGCTCTCCGTAAGTCCTTGACCTGCCCAGGCTCCCCCACAATTTAGGATCCTGCCTCCCCCTCCCAGAGTGCTGGGACTACAGGCCTATGCCACCAATTGGCAAGCAAACAGTTTTTAATTGAATTTGAAAGCAGCAACCATTTTCTTAATTTCCTTTATGTTTACATTACTTGCGTAATGCCTGGCGCTTTTAGACATTTAATGGATATTTGTCTAGTAAATTGGTGAACAAGCACTGTTACCTAGTATTAATTTTCCAGAAAATTGGAAGTATCTCTAAGCATCAAGTCTTATTTTTAATTAAACATTTTTATGGAAAATTTTTCTATTATGATTTGCAAAATGTACTTGTCATTCTCAGGGCATATGAAAATCAACAAGTGGGGAGAAATCTATCAGTATTACGTTCTACACTTACGAAAATATCTGAAAAAGAAAAAAAAACTAAATATCCCTTTAAGAAGAATGTTGGAAGGAGATGAAAGTATTTTAGGTAATTGAGGTGATTTAAGCACTTACATGCAAAATAACACATTTCCAAAGACCAGTCAAATGTAAATGGCAAGGCATTAAATAGTAGTTGCTATAGTAGCAAAAGAAATATTTAGTCTATCCATCAAAGGGCTGCCACCACACCTTACTATCTACTCTGGGTTATTGCTTCTGGTTATTTGGTTTTATTTGGGGGTTAGGTGGGAAAGGGGCCAAGTAGAATAAAATTTGCGTCCTGTGGAACATTAAGATCAAGTCGCTAAATCTGAACTGATCAAGCCTCTGGGAAGAAAGAAAAAGATCAATAACTGCCCTACAAACCAGCTTGAGGGCTCATTAAGGAAGCAGCAAAGTAACAGATGACTCTTCCTTCTGGTATAACTCACATGAAGAGATAATATTTAACATCCAGAAGCTGCTGGAGGGCTGAGGGTGGAGAAGCAAGCCAAAGCTTAATACACAAACAGCTATGTTTTCACAGAATAACAGGCAAACAATGTATAAACAATATAAGCTCCATACAGGACTATGCTGAGTATATACAACCATCCTCCACTGTTAAAGATATGTCACCCAGTAGATTCTCAGCTCTTTGAGGAGACAAGCTGTCTCAGGAGCCTCTGCGTGTACCACATCCAGCACACAGCAGGTATGCAGTGAATGCTAGAAAGGTGGGACGCAAGGAGCCCTGCAAGCTGTGCGGGAGAGCTGCCAGTACAATTTAACTATCCCAAGCCACAAATCCAAAAAATTGTCAGGTTTCTTATACTCACTTCCTTACCCAAATTTACAGCCGCTGAGCATAATCTAGTCTTCTTCTGGTCTAGTTCAGTATTGCCGTTATAGGTATAAAGTATAATCTTCTGCCACAGTGATGACCTCCAGAATCCCTGAGGTGTGTAGTAGTTTGCCTTTTCATTGCATCCCCTGAGATGGCTCTTTCCAGATTGTTGAAGTTAGAGTTAACTTTTATCAGCTTCAGAGACATGCTTTAGCCATTGATCTAGGTAAGGCATATTGAGCTTCTACTGTGTTCCAGGAAGTGTGTAGCATTTGCTTTCTAAATTACTTGCTCCAACTGTCATGGACTCATAGAATTCCTAAGCCTGGATGGATCATGAAGATAATTTAATTTAAAATTTTTGTTTTGGTTTGTTTTGGTTTGGTTTTTTTGAGAGACAATCTCCTTGTGTAGGTTAGGATAGTCTGAAACTAACAGCTATCCTTCTGAATCAACCTCCTGAGTGCTAGAATTATAAGCATATGCCACCATCCCCACTCAAACTTCTTGATTTATGAGAAAACAGAGGCTGGCTGAGGATGTAGCTCAGCGGTAGTGATTGCTTACTGTTACAGCTTATATCTAGATGTTCCCCCAAAACCCCATGTGGTCATAGGTGGAGCTTTTTGGAGGTGGCTGGATCTAAGGTGTGTGTTGCTGAGATCAAGGATGTGAAGCTGGGATTTGTTCCAGGCGTGATGCTAAGATTAAGGGTGCGAGTGCTATCCATCCTAGCTTGGATAAGATATAAGGAACAGAAAGAGTTGCTGTGGCTGCTGCTTGTTGCTTGTCACTTGCTGCTTGCTGCCTCTGCCTTCTGTCTGCCATGAACTATTTCTCCTCAGTGATGCCCCTTTGCCATGACACCCTTCTTGAAGCCAGCCAACTATAAGTGGAAAACCCTACAAACTGTGAGCCAGATTAATCTTCCCTCCTTTTACTTGGGTGTCAGGTATTTTGTCTCAGCTATGAGAAAGGTAACTAAGACACTTACCATGCACAAGGCTCTGAGTTGGCTCCCCAGCACCACAAAACACAGGGAGAGAGAGAAAGAGGCTCAGAGAGAGCAACTAGCCCAAGGTCACACTGCAAGATGGTGAGAGGAGATGCATTAGAATCTGACTTTTCTGATTTCCTATCTTCTGCTCTTTCTACCATGCTTATTGGATCTTATTCCTCAACAGTGTACACAATAATAATAAGAAGAAGAATTCACATTTTTGTAGTGCTTTATAGCTTTCATATCACTGTCACCCAAATTTCTTTGTCCAACTAATGATGATAGTAATAATAATTATCGTTACAACTAGCATTTACATTATTTATCACAGAGCAACTACCCAAAGTGTTGAATTATTTCACTAATCCTCACAATGGTCCTGTGACTGGGATACAGCTATTTTCACCCTCTTATAGAGCAGGAATGTAGGTTAAAGGAGGTTAGGTTACTTGCTTACCCTTAACAAGTTGCTGAAGGCCGCACAGCTAGGATGGAGAAGTTTAGCATCGTCCTGATTGCCTGGTGCCAGAGCCCTTCCACTACCCACGGTGCTTCCCTCACAAATGCCCTCAGAAGCAGACAAAAAAGGTATTATCCAATACATTCGCAAACCATGCTTTCTTGTACTTTTAAGCTTAATTTGATAGGAATTTTATAATCACTCAGGCCAGAAAATAGATTAACTCCCTGAGGGAGAAATACAGAGAAAGCTGCCTCCAGGGATGCCTGCGGTTAAGGGAGAAGAGAGGAAATGATGCTAGCACATAATTAGGAGCTACCACCCTATTTCATATAGCCATAAGCTTGATGTGCATTGATTTCATTTAAATTTAAAGGATATTATGTAAGTTTAAAACCACAATTAGGTAAAATAATTTTCACAACCACATACATACACCTGCAGGCACACACGCATGCACAAATATTTTAACAAAACAGTGTGCTGACTGGGTTGCCCGGTTACCGCTCCTTCACTTGAGCAGGTACCAGCAGGCCTTTGGGCTAAATTCCTGGCACCCAGGCGGACCAGTTTGGAAGCAGTGGTGACGTGGGCTGTGGCTGCAGTGGGCCCCCAAACTAACTACCTGTATTTGATACAGAAAACTATTTTCTACCTTGAACCATCATTACGGAACAAGTCAAGAAATACCCAAAATATT